GAAGGAGTGGCTTTACAACAACTCTGTGACTGTTCTTGAATGGCCCCGCCAGAGCCCTGACTTAAACCCAATTGAGCATCTCTGGAGAGACCTGAAAATGGCTGTCCACCAACGTTTACCATCCAACCTGACAGAACTGGAGGGGATCTGCAAGGAGGAATGGCAGAGGATCCCCAAATGCAGGTGTGAAAAACTTGTTGCATCATTCCCAAAAAGACTCATGGCTGTATTAGCTCAAAAGGGTGCTTCTACTAAATACTGAGCAAAGGGTCTGAATACTTATGACCATGTGATATTTCAGTTTTTCTTTTTTAATAGATCTGCAAAAATGTCAAATTCTGTGTTTTTCCTGTCAATATGGGGTGCTGTGTGTACATTAATGAGGAAAAAAAATGAACTTAAATGATTTTAGCATATGGCTGCAATATAACAAAGAGTGAAAAATTTAAGGGGGTCTGAATACTTTCCGTACCCACTGTACTTTCCAGTCGATGTTGAAAACGTGGCATTCGGCATCAACTTTTCTTTTTTTGGCGTGAGTTGACATTTTGAAGGTTAGCTGGCCAACATCACCTGTCTCTCACCCGGTAGGTCGGGGATCTTAAGTTTAACCGTGAACTTTTTTCATTCATGTTCTGATTTGATGGACCTCACGTGGGCCGGACAGGGACGCCCAAAGGGCTGGATGTGGCCCGCGGGCCGTAAAATGCCCAGGTCTGACTTAGTGGAAACAGATCATATGGTGGAGTAATGGTAGAATTGGGCATTTGTTGTAATTGTGTTTCCATTTTCAGATTCCTTCAGTCAGGCTATGCTACATGTCAGGTTTTGTGGGTTGCTGCTGGATGAGCTAAGCAGTCCATTATCCAGTGTTGGTACTGATAGTACTGCAATGAGGGAATACAGACAGTGGTCCTTGCTGAATATGGAATGATGTTCAGTACAGCATGAGGCTAAGCTGAGGCAGAACCGGCTGTACTGTATGCATGTTGGCCAGCTGGCAGCCAGCAGGTAGTCTCCCAATGCCTGCTGTCATGTGCAGGGTGTTGGCGTGTTATCTGGGTCAGGTAAGGCTCAATACTGTGCTGCAGGTTTTACATTAGCCTTAGTCCTTGACCACTGTATCCTGGAGCTCAAATCCTTTCAGCTCCACAGCAGCAGCATACTGTGAATGGTCTGTTTCTGCACAGGTTCACCATCTGATCCTTGTCCCCTGTGTTTGATACTCTTACACCAAAGCTATGAATAATACAAACCTTACATCCCTCATTCTGTCACATTATCCCACACTGCTTGAAACTGACCTGTTTAAGTTGTTAAGCTGTGTTCACTTTCCTAAATTCATTCATCCATCCATCCATCATCTATACCACTTATTCCTGGAGAGTTATGGGGGACTGGAGCTAATCCCAGTTGACGCTGGGTGAGAGGCGGGGTCCACCCTGGACAGGTTGCCAGTCTATCACTTTCTAAAATGAAAAATAAAATAAGGGA